AGGAATAACTGCTTTGAAAGAAGATTACTCCGGATTTACCATGGAGTTTAGAATATATGCATCTTACTCGAAATAGGAATAACTCCTTTGAAAGAAGATTACTCCGGATTTACCATGGAGTTTAGAATATATGCATCTTACTCAAAATGAATCTAAGTATTTCTAAATAATCTTTAAAGTTTTGAAGGATTAGTAAAAGAAAGAAATCTCCAGGAAATCCCTGTAACATTCTTCTTACAGTTTAATCAAGTGAAAAATCAAGGCACTAGCAGTTTAGTTATCTTATCTTGCTTACCCGTAGACTCAAAATCAGGAGTTTTATACTTGAATGACCAGTCAATGGGGTCAGGCCTCCTCACGGTCACTCCTTCCATTTTTAAAATATTGCACATTTCTTCAATTTCAGCAACAGCCTTCTTCAAATGATCTTTGGGAAAAAAATGGCCTCCATGCTTCTGGTAAAATGGCCAGTACTTTTCATATGTGTTGGCCTAGAAGCAGAAAAGGAAGATGGAATACTAGCAGGGGAAAAACACCATTCGCCATAGGTTTCTAGGCGATGAACATCTCCCTGTATCACATGATGGAATCGAGACCAACGCATGTTATTCACTGTCGATCCCCATCCCAAGCACACTGCCTCTCTGGGCAGACACTCAATGTTTATTGAATAAAAAACTCTAAATTACTGTGACATGTTAAGGTCTTGTGTTCCTTCTGCCTGAGATCTTGTGCCCAACTAGTAACAGCGTATCTGTCCTCAGATAGGCTTGGGATCCACTTAGTCAGTTTTTACCATGCTGCACAGACAGACCAGACATGGGTGCTCCTGTTAGAGAGACTCGGTGACATCAAACAAGAGGACAAACAGATAGAACGGAATAAAAACACGTGTACTAAGTCAAATCCATGGGCTATCCACGCATGCCAGAATTCTGTCTGGAAATAGCACAAAATGTTTTGTGAGGGAAATAACAGATCTTATGCCACCTTTAAGATTAAGGAAATGCCTTCGAATAGACTTTGTTTCTTTCAAAAACCCATCACTGATCTTCCCATTCAACAGAATGAGCCCCTGACAAAATGGAGTCGTACAACTCTGCCTGTGGTTCTTCCTGCCAAGGTGTCTCGCCCCACGGTGCCTCGCCTCTCTTCGATCCATCGGCGTTCTCACAGCACTTCAGATGTTTTTGTCATAGAAGGCAGTCAATTGACAAAAGAATACCTAAAATTTTAGTAGCTGAAGAAAGTGACACTTAGAAACCAAATGCTTGGGGACCAGCAGTTGGCGTAATGGCTATGTCACTGGACTCCCATGTAGTGGACCGCAGTTCGAGTCCCGGTCGCAGTGGCTTAAACTCACGCCTGGCACGTGTGCATGCATGCCCAGGATCCCGAGAGGAGAATGGAGGAGAAGGGATTGCAGCATGGCCATCTCCCCCACGGGGGGCAGGGGGATGATTTCTCACTTTCTGTCTGTCTTTCTGGCGAGCGCACGTACCCTATAGCAAAAACCTCTCTTATGAAGAAAAAAAAAAAGAATACAATTAACGACAACCTGCTGTGCATCTCAGAGTGAATAAAAAAGAGGATTTTGAATGTTTCCAACACAAAGTACTGACAGATGTTTGAGATGATGGGTATACTAGTTACCCTGATTTAATCATTATACGTTGTAATCTTTTGGAGAAAAATCACATTGTGCTGCCACAGAATGTATACAAATCATGTCAATTAAAAATGAATACTCTAAAAAATATTTCTTTATATCATTGAGCAACCACCAGCTCTGACTCTGTGGATGTGAGGGCTTCCATTATAAATCAGGTAAGTACTAGACAGTGAGGAGGCTGGGTAGCGGGCAGGAGCGTGTCAGAGTAGATGAAGTGAATGTTCACTTTGGCTAGGTACTCCTCTCTCATTCTGTCAGCACTCCCAGCAATCCCACCAAACACACAGGGCAAGCGCTCATCCGCTCGTTTCACATGCAAGGAAAGAGACGCAGGGAGGACACGTGTTCCTTTCTCCCTAAACAAGCAGGACTGGGCTCTCGCTGTGCTCCTGGTACACTGAGGGACTTGGCGATGTTACACCTGCTTAAACTTTGCTTATGTGTTTGACAGAGGGTGTGTTTGCTGTCAGAGAGAGAGAAAGAGAGAGTGAGAGAGAATGAGAAAGCGTCCCCCATGAGGGACAGTCATTTTGTAATCCCTTCTCTTCCATCTCTTCTTTCAGGATTCTGGCATGCATGTGCACTTCGTGTGTTTTAAAGCAGCCAGGTCTGGGACTCCAATGTGTAGTTGGCCACGTGGGACCCAGCCACCTTAACCACTATGCCACTGGCTGGCCCTGGACAAATATTTTTAACTTGATGTATGAAAACCTTTTTTTAAGCAATTTTTTGCTACAGGGCATGTGTAGTTGCTAGAGAGACAGAGAGAAAGAATGCAAGAAATTTCCTCCTCAGGGGTGATAGCCACACCACAATCGCTTCTCCTCTCAGAATTTGGAGCATGCACGCACATGTGCCCAGCATGAATTTCAAGCCACCAGGTTCGCGACTCGAACCACAGTCACCATGTGGGAGTCCAGCAAGGTAACCATTATGCCATCTGCTGGTTCCATGTATGAAAACTTTTAAAACTGGAATTGCCTGGAGTTGGCAGGTGATGTAGTGATTAAGGCACTGGACTCCTACATGGCTGACCGTGGTTTGAGTCTTGGATCTGGTGGCTTGTTTTCTTACTTTTCCCTTCTCTCTGGTCAAATTAAAAACAATAATAAATAAAATTAAACAAATAATTCTCAAAATAAAAACTGGAATCACTTAACACAGTTTATATAAGGGGTCTTCAAACTTCAGGGAAAATGCATATTATAGTAAATTATGCATAGATTTTCATTTTTTCCCACTAAAATAAACTTGTACTTTAATTCTATTTTTCCATGGGCTTTTTGAAGTCCCTTTGTATTGTTTCCAATGAGTAAGCTGTTCATCAAGACTAGACTAAATGCCTAGTTGTCTGTCTGTTTTCTTTGCATAGTTGCCTGAGGGCTCACCAGAAAGAGAGAGACAAGAACAGTGAGAAGGGAAGAAAGTATCCTCCACTGGGGTGTGGTCACACCACCATCCTTCCTTCTCTATCCTATTGGGATTTGGGGCATGCGTAAACTGAGTGGCATTCGAGCCGGGAGAGCCAGGATACAAACTGCAGTTAGCCATGTGGGAGCTGGCTCCCTTAACCAGTAGGCTAGAGTTCAGCCCAAGATGTCTACTTCTTTAACATCAGACATTTTCTAGGTTTTGTGTCTCTACTGTACTTCCATTTTTACCTCAGTCTGTTAAATATCAAATAAAAAAACAGACCTGCCTCTTGTTCGTTTACAACAGGTAGGCTGGAACTCAGCCTGGTGGATGAAGAATAGTTGAAAAACGGGTCTTTACAAAATGTGAATGATGCCAAAGAAGATTTAAAACAGGGTTTGGGACACTACAGTCGGGAGGCCAGATCTAGCCGATGCCTGCTTCTGTAAGTTTTACGGGAACACAGGCACGCTCCTCCGTGTACGTAATGTCTATGGCTGCTCTTACACTGCGATGGCAGGGCTGAGTCGAGTAGTTGCGAGAGACGGATGATCTGTAAAACCTGGATTATGTATTATTTGGGCCTATTTAGAAAAAAGGGCCAATTCCGGATCTGAATGATTAATGAGCTCTTTTACCTCCAAAGGCAAACAGCAGGCTCCATTTCTGACCTAGGAAAAATGTCAACAGCATTCAACATTCGAGTGTTTCCTAAAACCAACCTACTCTTTCAAGAAAGAAAACAAGACGAAAGCATGGTGTTGTTTTCTACTCCTAGGAATTCCGGCAACAGCAACCAGAAAGAGGATAAAAATGACTGTCTAAATTCCTCTCAGACACATCCTGGTACTACGCATCCATTCACACTCCTCCTTTTCATTCTAGGCACATCTCCCACAGTCTACCAAGGGACAAGAAGCCTTTGAAAATTTAACACTGGGGTCCAGCAGATGCCGTTGTACTGTTTGGACAGACTCCTTCCAAGTATCCTGTGGACTACTAGTGCAGAGTAAAGCTGGCCTTGATAAATATAAACTTTCCCGGGAGAAAAAAGGTATTTGAACAAGTGTGAGTTTTCTGGTCTAGCTTATCATCTGGCAAAGGCTGGATGCAGTCCAAAGGATCAGGGCTCATTATGTTTTCTGAGAGATGGACATTGTTTACACTCCTTTGTAAACGCGCTAATGAGCTTTCAATCATTGACCGAGTTGTCTGCGAGATAAGAAACACTCTATGGGACGCTTAGCATATGGGGTTTGTAATAATGTGTGACAGAGATGTGGCTGCATTCCTAGAAACATTCCAGTTATTCAGAACCTAACACCCTTCACGAGGGTTTGCCAAGAGAAGTTTTAAAATACTGTCTTTAGAAGGCTACGAAATGTGAATAGAAACTCATTTCTTATTTATAACTTACATTAACCTTGATTAACTCTGTATTTTATACAAGATCCTTTGTCAGGGATTTATCTGAAAAAAGACAAAAAAAAAAAAAAGTCCACATATTCGACATTAAGTATTTACTATGTCTTGTAGAATAAAAAGCCATACAGCTTTTTAAAATTGTGGGGTCAACAGGTGGCATGGTGGCATGGCCCACATGGCCAAATGCAGCTTGAGTCTTGGACCTGGAGAAGGATGGAGGAGAAGGGACTGCAATGTGGTCATCCCCCTTGGGGGAGGGAGGTAACTTCTCACTTTCCCGCTCACTGTTTCTCTGTCTCTTTTCAGTGAGTACACATGCCCTGTGGCAAAAACCTTAAAAACAAACAAAACAAAAACAAAACACCCTGTGTTTCCTGACAACTTTCTTTAAAATTTCTTGCTAGCACTACATCTTCCAATATATTATACGATAATTGCTTATAAATAGTTTACTACAAGGACCAGCAGGTGGCACAATGGTTCTGTCACTGAACTTCCATGCAGTCAAGCACAGTTCAAGTCCCAAATTCAGTGGCTTAAAATTCATGGTGGGTGCACGTGTTCCCCAGAGGAGAACAGAGAAGGGACTGCGGCACAGCCATTCCTCCTGAGAGGTAATTCCTTGCTTTCCGTCTGTCTCTCTCTGGCTCTCCAGTGAGCACACATGCCTTAGAGCAAAAATCCCTGGGGGGGTGGGGGGGGAGTTTACTACAGTAAACTTACATCGTTTCTAAATTAATATAGCTGTGTCATTCTTCACAAGGGGGCCCGGGCATGTCTAATATTTACTTCCTTCTTCCTAAAGACCTAGCTTAGCATGTGGCATAGAACAGAAGTAACCAGATAAACAAATAAAGTCAATTCTGCTAATATTAATATCTACCACCAGTACACCCCAATGTAGTCTCATGTAACGGAAAACTGGATCCATACAACATTAATGAGCTATAGCTTTGTCCTTTAAAATACTTAACATGTAACCTTTTACATTCATGTTTAATCTGACTGGAGCCCAGAAATTTGTTGAATCTTGCACAAGGTTCAGTAGCTGATTAACCGAGACTGCTATCAAGCTTTTATCACATTTCTAGTTTAATCCCAGTCTCCCGATTTCAGCATGGTACATTTCCCACAAGCCCATGAAACTACAAAGTCTAAAGTCATAAATCAAGTGACAAAGAACTCGAAATAATGTCTGAGAATTCTGATTCCATAAGATCACATGGTATGAACGCCAGTCGTTTAAAGACAAGTCGAAAGATAAATGATTGTCTGAGTCTGAACTTCAGTTTTATGCAGTTCAGATGATTAGGGAAGAGAACAAACTATTTTCAAGAAAAGACTTTACAAGGTCTTGGGCCAGTGTGTGCCTTGGTAGTTAATGCACTGGAACCTACATTGCCAACTTTGTGGTTTGCGTCCTGGTCCCAGTGGCTTGAAAATCACACTGGTGCATGTGTGTGCGTGCTCAAAATCCTATGGAGAATGGAGAAGAAGGGATTGGGGCATGGTCATCTCTGGGGCAGGGGTGATTTCTCACTTTCCTTCTCTTTCTGTCTCTGGTGAGTGCACATGCCCTATAGCAAAAATGAAAAAACAAAAACCAAACAAACAAACAAAAAGGCTTTTAAAAAATATTTGGCTAGAATGTAAATTAATATCTTTACCAAATTCCAGATATCAGAACCGAAGGTAGTTTCAGAACATTAAAAGAAATTATTACTTTTTCTTTTTTTTTTTTAAAGAGCAATTTTTGCTATAGGGTGTGTGTGCTCATGGAAGTGGCAGGGAAAGACAGAGAGACAGAAAGGGAGAAATCACCCCCTGGGGGGATGGCCATGCCACAATCCTTTCTCCTCCATGCTCCTCTCGAGATTTTGGGCATGCACACACATAGGCCTGGCGTGAGTTTTAAGCCTCCAGATCTGGGACTTGAACTGAGGTCAACCATGCAGGAGTCCAACGACATAAACCATTATGCCCTACTTCTTCTATTGCCCTGCCTTCCACATCTAACTAGAGATGAACTTTCTTCAAGACAACGTTCTAACTAGTTAGCACCTGACTACTGCTTTTTCCTTGGCTTACCTGGCACTTCAGTGGCCTTGCCAGTTGGTAGGCATAAGATACTTAGTCTTCCTTTCTATGAGAACATGGTATCTCTTCAAATTATAAAGGTGTTCTTTTGTGCTGATACCTCTAGAGCCCCAGTACATGGTTGGTAATATTTTTAATGAAGATGATGACACTGTCACAAACTTATTCCTTCAATCCACACCACAAATAACAATGTAAATATTCAGCAAGAATGTAAGTACATTGATGATGTATTTGTAACCCATTATTAATGGATGCTTGGGCTGTCTCTATAATGTGGATGGTGTTCTCTCAGATAGTGGACCCTTATGCAGTTTTCAAACCTGAACACCAACCCACAGAGGCCCTGGCCATATGAATATTACAGAGAAAGAATGCTAAGAGGTTTTTAAAAAGAGATCATACTTTTGGCTAAAGAAATCCTGGAAGGCTTTGTGAAAAGTTATTGTTGGAGCTAGGTGGAGAAAGGTGTAAGCTGCAGACAAAAGGGTGAAGGATAACAGGTAGAAAGGAGACTTAGGTGGGAGCAAAAGAGTGGGGCGTGTTAGGAAACAGTGGGTCTGGCTACTTATATCGTCTTGTAGTCTGCTGAAAACCAGGATGGAATATTAGAGAGAACTCAAACAGGAAGGAACACCTGCTAACCTGTCATACTTACACGCCTCTAAGATGAGCACTGATAGAAGTGGGGAGTCCGAGAAACATAGGCCAGAGTGTTTGTGAAGGATCTTGAGTAACAGGAAGACTTTATCCTAAGCAATGTGGGGGACAGGCTAGCAAAATAGGGAAGTGACAGGAGCAGGATGAGTAACACAACCAAATTTGGGTTTTTAAAAAAAAAAATCACTGAGAGCAGCTGGAAGGTGGTTTGGAGAGAAGAGTGAGGCAAGGAGACCAATTAGGAGTTATGTGCTATAATCCAGGCTGCAGACAAGATCTTGACCTGAGGCAGAGAGAAAAGGATAGAAGCAAGATGCGTTTTGACCAAAAACTCACTAAATCTTGAAGAATGGATGTAGACGGGCTGACTAAAGGAGACATCAAAGATGACTCTTTGTGGTGTTTTAGCTTATTAGATAGCAATGCCAAAAATTCAAGAGGGAAGGAAGAAAGGCCTGATTGAGCAGGGTGGCTGGCAACTGAACTCTAGAAGCGCCAAGTTTAAGGTCCCGGGCCACATCCAGTATGCGGTTTAGCAAGTTGATCTGGACGGAGCTCAGGAGAGAGATGGGGGCCAGGGCAGAGCGGTGAGTTGCAGTTGTGAGAACGGCTAAGAGAAAGGGGCCAAAAGTGACATTTTGTTCAATCTCCACCATTCCAGACTGAAAAAGACCCAGGAACTAACATTCCCAGTGAAGGCCTTTCAGAATCCAAGGGAAAGGTGTTAAGAAGGAAGGAGTTACCATTTGTGTAAACAGTGTTGACTCAACAGCACAGAGGTATCAGAGAAGGTTACATTAATCACCGGATTCAGGAGGCCTTGGGTAGTAAACTCACAGAGGCCAGATGGCAGAGGGTGAGGAGAGGACCTACTTCCAGACCTGTGAATACCCTTGCTTTACCTTCACCTCCACGGTGAACGGTGGCACACAGGCGTTTTCTGCTCTGCCCACTATCACTTCCTCTAAGGGGTCCCATTCGTTGTAAGAGGAGACAGGACAGTCCTTGGGTAGAGGATCCGTGGCCTTGTCGTCAGCTGCACAGGAGTTCTGGGAGGAGGCTGTAGCTGCCTGGGTGCTCTGGAAAGTTCGCTGCACCCATCCTGTTAGGGTTCTTCCAAGCTTTCAAGAACAAAGAAAAGATTATTGTGTAGCCCTACGCAATACTGGGGGGCGGGGAGGAAGTGGAGATGGGATGAAAACCCAGCAGAACATAGACATTTAAACTCCTTCAGGAGACGGTAAACCAAGCATTACTAGTGTGTAGGTGAGTAGTGGGATTACAGGTGACTTTTTACCTTCTGGTTTATCTATATAGTCTTTCTATGGATTATGTTCATTGCTGCAATTCTTTAAAACCCCCTCAGAAGATCCTGTCCCCAGCGACCATACACCTCCGTTATTATCTTAGAAGGGGGGGGGTCTTCAATCAGGCTTTGAGCAACTCTTCAGCAGATGCTGGGTCACACTCCTTCCAGAAAAAAACACACAAAGCTGCTCGGGATCTTGCCGAGTCCAGCTGGGAAACGAGGGGGTAGGGCTCTCCTCTGTTTCAAGTGAAAATGTGTAAGTATTTATAACGGACCTCGTCTTTCAGAATAATCAGCTTCCAACTGAAAACTTTTTCTCTTTGACATACACTTCTTCGCAGGCTTTGGCACTTCAGTTCTGAGAGTGACCAGCGCCATCTGCTCCGAGTTACAGATGGTCCGCAGTACCCTAGCCAAGACAAGGATTAGCCCAGGCACACATTCAAACAACTGAAAAGGAGAGCTAACAACTTCAAAAAGGCCTTCTTAAAATGCAGGGCCTGTGAGCTCCAGAGCAGGGAGCGTCGCTCCCCCGCCAGGCAAACCTCAGTCCCCACCTTTTCCCCATCCTGCCAGAAGCCTTAAGAGTCGGGCAGGAGGGCAGCAGGGGTGGAGGCCGGAGTAAGAGGGAGAGTAACAGCTGTTCTGGAACGAGTTGCTGGGGAAAGCCAAGCGGCCGAGCTATTCCAGTCCTGCGAGCCAGCAAGGGAGGGTCTGCGCCGCGCAGACTTCCTAGGAAAGGGGAGAAGGGGTGGGGACCGGGGATCCGGCAGAAACGCTGGGAAGAGGCTGAACTGGGGCCAACTCCTCTGGCGACTCCGGGACTCCACGTTACACTTGACTGAGCCTGCTCGCTGGCTCTTCGCCTCCGATCCCCACTTTGCCTCTTCTCCCCATCCATTCACCCTACTCGCATTTCCCCGAGAGCTTCCCACGCGTGTGTCCACCCTGGGCCCTGAACCCCAATCACGCCAGCCACCCTTTCACTAGGCGGAGGCCCTTGCCGTACCCACCCCCGCGTCCCGAGCTCGGTTGCGCGAACCAAGATCTGGTAGAGGAGGGCGGTGCCCCTGCTCCGTCCGCCCAGCTGCTCTCCACGAGAGGGGGCGCGCAACGCCTTCTCGTACCCCGGAGACACCGCCAAGTTCCCGGAGGCAGCAGAGGCTCTCTTGAAGCCTTAGGGTCCCCCAGAACGGGCAGACACTGTCACGCAAATCTAGCTGGGCAAAGCGAGGGGACGCGGCGCGCGGCGGGGACACGCGGCCGCCGGACGAGGCCGCTGGCGCACGCACCCGAGACCCGATGTAGTGCACCGCCTCGGCGCCCCGGCTCCCGCCCCGCAGGGCCCGCACC